GCTGTCTCCCTTTTCATGTCACTGCTCTCTAAAAATTCCTACTCATCCTTTAGAGATAGACTCAGATATCACCTCCTCCATGAAGCCCGCTCTGAGTTCCTGGGAAGAATCAACTGTTCCCATTTCTATTTTATTTTATGCTTTTTACATACCTCTGGTAAAACATAAACGAGATTGTATTATAATTATTCACTTAAGAGTCAAGCTCTCCCTCTCCCTCTCTCTATAGACATTTTACCCTGTCCTCATACTAGACTTTGAACTCCTCCAAGGCAGAGACCACGTCCTAATTTTGTGTTCCCATACCTGGCATAGTGTGAGTACTCCCCACTGCCAAATTTATGGAATAAATTAATTTTTCAGTTGAGAAAACTCAGACCAAACATATTAACGAACTCAATGAAGGTTATACAGCTAGTTAGTGGCAGAAATGGGACCCAAACCCAGGCTTTCTACTCTGTGTTTAATTCTTACCCCTCTGCCTCACTCTAGGACTTCCATGATTGCTCCCTGTCTGGCTCCCGCTTAGCCTTTCTCCTCCCAGCAAAGCCTCCCACTTCCGCCATCTGCTTCTGACATCACAGCCTGCCCTACCTCCCACCCTGCCATCGTCCCATCAGCCTCCAACCTCAAGGGGCAAGTCCTCTCCCTCAGCTTCCCCCTTCTCTTTACACATCCACACCCGTCTGTCCTGCAGTCTTTCTAACACCAGCCAGAACCCTCTCTAGCTAAGTCTAACCTCATTCAACTTGGTTTCCTTGCAAGGCACCAAGTACATGTCTATGTTGCCCCTCGGCCTGGTTACCTGCTCTTTTTTGAGCTCTTTCGGTCTGTTTCCCATTATGTTCCCTTTTTTATTTTTTTGAGACAGAGTCTCACTCTGTCACCCAGGCTGGAGAGCACTGGTTCGGTCTCAGCTCAGTGCAACCTCTGCCTCCCGGGTTCAAGTGATTCTCCCACCTCAGCCTCCTGAGTAGCTGGGATTACAGGCGCATGCCACCATGCCTGGCTAGTTTTTATATTTTTAGTAGAGACAGGGTTTCATCATGTTGATCGGGTTGGTCTCGAACTCCTGACCTTGTGATTCGCCTGCCTCAGCCTCCCAAAGTGCTGGGATTATAGGAGTGAGCCACTGTGCCTGGCCGCTTCTTTCTTCAAATCAGGAATTCTCTGCGGCAACCCAGGCACCTCATCCTTTCTGGCACCATAAATTCCTCGCACACAGTCAATTCATGCATACATCCACTCACCCAAGAGGCAATTCAGGCAAAGCAGGAAAAGAGCTGTTGTCTTAGATTTCTGGACCACATCTGGCACAAAGTTCACCCCTAAACAGGTGTTCCATTTGTTAGCCCTTTTTTTTTAATTTTTGAGACGGAGTTTCGCTCTTGTTACCCAGGCTGGAGTGCAATGGTGCGATCTCAGCTCACCGCAACCTCCGCCTCCTGGGTTCAGGCAATTCTCCTGCCTCAGCCTCCTGAGTAGCTGGGATTACAGGCACGCGCCACCATGCCCAGCTAATTTTTTGTATTTTTAGTAGAGACGGGGTTTCACCATGTTGACCAGGATGGTCTCAATCTCTTGACCTCGTGATCCACCCGCCTTGGCCTCCCAAAGTGCTGGGTGTCAGCCCTTTTTTGAGGGGATACTGAAGAGACCCCAACATTGGCTCATGAGTTGGGGTGGGAGGTTGGGCTCAGGGTCCTTTGATCCCGAAAGCTTGGAGTTTATGAATAAACACCACCAAACTGTACTTAACCTTGCCTTCCCCCATACCAGACAGTATAGGCAATGCCCAAAATTCATAGAATAAATGTTTCTTTCTGACCCAAGTTCTTACCTGCCTGTTGAAATCTAGGCCATTTCGATCATTTCCTAGAAGAGATAAAAATATATGTATATATTAGTTGGCAGCAGGTTTGGAAAAGGCTGAAGGTCAGGAAAGAACTAGGATGTGGAGGGGCGTGCGGCTGTATTTCGCAAAAGAACACCTGCTTCCCCTGTGGCTGGTATCCTTCTCCTCGACCTGTTTCCCGGAAATGTCTTTGGAAAGTCTCCTCCAGGGAGGTAATCGTCAGGTAAAGGGTCACCTTGGAGGGGAGGCTGACTTATCTGAGGTCACACAGCAAATCAGAGCCTGTGGGGAGGACAGCTGGCTGTGCCAAGTGGAGGGCTCGCTCCACCACATGCTTCTGTGCCTGGGCTTCCCTTCAGATGGCAGCTGCTACATCCCTCCAGGGACCAAGGGACCAAGAAGAGACCAGCATGGATCCCAAAGGACTCCCTAGGACAAGAAGTCATGCCACTAGCCCAGCCCTCCAGGGGAGATGACACCTAAAGCGTGTCAGCTAGATGGCTGTCTGTTTCTTTCTTTCTTTCTTTCTTTCTTTTTTTTTCAGATGAAGTCTTGCTCTGTCTCCAGGCTGGAGTGCAGTGGCGCAGTCTTGGCTCACTGCAACCTCTGCCTCCTGGGTTCAAGCAATTCTTCCGCCTCAGCTTCCCGAGTAGCTGGGACCACAGGTGTGTGCCAACACGCCCGGCTAATTTTTTTGTATTTTTAGTAGAGACGGGGTTTCACCATGTTGGCCAGGATGGTCTCAATCTCTTAACCTCATGATCCACCTGCCTCGCCCTCCCAAAGTGCTGGGATTACAGGCATGAGCCACCGTGCCCAGCCCTGCTGTCTGTTTTTTTCTTACCTTCAACTTTTACCATAAATCTTGGGCTGAAAAAGTAAGTCTGTGCTTAATAGAAATGTCTTTCCATGGCTGGGCACGGTAGCTCACATCTGTAATCCCACCACTTTGGGAGGGCAAGGCAGGAGGATCACGTGAGCTCAGGAGTTCAAGCCAGCCAGGGCAACAGAGGGATCCCCACTGCTACTAAAAATACAAGCATGGTGGCACATGCCTGTAGTCCCAGCTACTCAGGAGGTTGAGGCAGGAGGATCACTTGAGCACAGAGGTAGAGGCTGCAGTGAGCTCTGGTTGTGCCACTGTACTCTAGCCTGGGCAACAGAGTGAGACTCTGTCTCAAAAAAAGAAAGAAGAAGAAAGAAGAAAGAAGAAAGAAGAAGGAGAAGGAGAAGGAGAAGGAGAAGGAGAAGAAGAAAAGCAACGCTTTTTCATTGAGAAAAAGTCTAAAGCAGTGGGAAAATCACTCTACTGAGAGGAAGCCATAATTAATATTTGTTTATTTTATTTATTTATTCTGAGACAAGGTCTTACTCTGTCACCCAGGCTAGAGTGCAGTGATGCCATCCCAGCTCACGGCAACTTCTGCTTCCTGGTTTCAAGTGATTCTGCCTCAGCCTCTCTAGTAGCTGGGATTACAGGCACCCACTGCCACACCTGGCTAAGTATTTTGTATTTTTAGTAGAGATGGGGTTTCATCATATTGGTCAGGCTGGTCTTGAACTCCTGACCTCAGGTGATCCACCCACCTCCGCCTCCCAAAGTGCTAGGATTACACGCTTGAGCCACTATGCCTGGCTTATGATCTTTTTTATAATTTTTTTCATGAATATATACCACTCTGTATAGACTTTTACCCCACTTTTTCTAGTGAGCATCATAAATATTTCTCCTACGTGATTAAGGAACATCATAAATGCTTCTATACTTACAAATATTCTTTTAATTGCTACATAATATTCCATTATATGGATATACCATGATTTGCTTAAACATATACCTATTGTTAGTGGATTGTTTTCACTCTTTGCTACAATAAAACTTCCTATTCACATAGCTCTCCGGGACCAGAGCTGCCACACAACCTTCCTTTGGGCCCTCTGTATTACTGGCTCTATAACAGCAAGGAAAATAATTATTTATTAAATACAGCACACTCAGAGCCCAGCACTGTGCAGCATGTGCATATATATATGTACATATATATGTATATATATTAGGAGCTCAAAATATATTGGTTGAATGAATGAGTAAACACATTCAGAACTCTCAAGATGACTCTGGAATAAAGTCCAGATTCCTTGGCACAGCGTGAAATTCCTGACATGTCCTGTCTCCTGCCTACCTTTTCTGCTCTTATGCCGCTCACAATCTTACCTTACCTTCTTTCCCAAGCACCCTGAGCTCCAGCCACACAAAGTACTCACTCGTGTCCTAAGACACCACGCACTCACGTTACCATGCCTCTGTGCACTGCTCCCCGGCATGAAGTCAGTCCCTCTCTCCTCTGGAATCTGGGAGGCCTCTCTGCTGGCTGCGTGGCACTCATTGCGTGTTTCTGTGTGGCACTCATTGTGTGTTCCCTCTTTGTATGTTTCCCTCTCCTGCTAGCCTATGAATTCCTTGAGAGCTGGATATGACAGCAATCTTTTTGTGTCCTCAATGGCCACAAAATGACTGCACTTCCTAAGAGGGATCAGAGGCTCAAGAAACACCTGAAAGACGAATGAGTGGGGTCTGAGATCATTTCCTTTTCCTCAGCTGTGTCCTAAACAACGATGGGCAAGTGCTGCCCTTTACTGGGTGGTCATGAGGTCATGAGGCATCTCTGAGAGCAGGTGGGCTGGCAAAGTGGGAGCAGAGGATGAAGAGCGATGGGGTCCTGAGCAAGAGGAAGAGGTGAGGTGCAAAATGATCTCTGAGCAAAGCCTGGCTTTCAGATCAGCTATGATGATACATACGATCTGCTAGGGGAGCTAAAGAGAGGAAGGACCCACAGCCACAGTAGTTGTGTTGCAAGGGGTAGATGAAGGTAAAATTGCTTTTATCTTAAAAAAAAAAATTCCTTTGTGACATTGTGATGTTCTAATGTTGTAACATTGGGTTAATAAAGAGTAACATTCAAAGACTTGACAAAAGAACAAATTCATTAATTCAGCAAGTATTTACTAGGCACAGTCTATGTGCAGGGTACTATTCCAGGCACTGGGGATACACTATTGGAGAGGATGGAAGTCGCTGGCCTCATGGAGCTTCTTTTCATGGAGTTGAGAAGACAGAAGAGAACTAAGCAAACAGAAACGTACCGAATGGCAGGATTAGAGTGCAGGGGCCAGCTAGGGCCTCCAGGGAGACTGGCCCCTGGTGCTCCAGGAGAGCAGAGAGCAGCGCATGGCTCAGCCCTTGTCACTCAGGTAAGAGAGCTCTCAGGAGACATGCCCTCCCTCATGGCTCCTAGCCCACGTGTCTAGGTGTAGACATAGGGATATGGCTCACGGCACAGTAAGTGGGTAGAGAGTATCTGAGGCTGATCAGAAACAGGGTGACCTGGGAAGGCCACTCAACGCCACTCGAGGAGGTGACATTTTCTCTGAACAAAGTGAGGACCCAGTCTTTCGAAGGCCTGGGGAAAGATCACTTCAAATGGAAAGACTGGCCCCTGAGGCAAGAACAGGCTTGCATGCCGAGGGACGGTAACGAAGTCAGCATGACCGGAGAAAACAGTGATGGAGATAGTTGGCGTGGGATCCGCCAGTCGGGTCGTGATGAAGACTGCAATTTTCAATGCAAGGAAGATGGGTTGATCTGAGGGTCCTGAGCAAAGGAGTAACATGATCTGACTTAAGTCTTTAAACCTGCAGGGGTAAGAGATGAGGAAGGGAGGAGGACTGGGAGGCTGCTGCGATGGCCCGAGTGACAGGGCCGCAGGCTGCACAGGATGGCGGCAGTGGATGCACTGAGCGGCGCCGGGAGGCACTTGACTGGGAAGCAGACAGGGCCAGCTGGCGCGGGGATGTGGAGGGTAGGGAGAAGAAAGGAATCAAGGATGATTCCGAGGGTTTGGGCTTCTTTGATGTCGTGGTGCCATGCACTACGGTGGGGTGACTTGGGGAGGAACTCAAGAGTTATGCTTGGGACATGCAGGGTTTGAGATGTCAATTAGATATCCCAGAAGAGGTGGGAAAGTGAGCTTGACTCAGGAGAAGTGTTCGGTCAGGAGGTAGCAGTTGGGTAGCCCTCAGCTTATGGGTGGTGGTTCCTAAAGCCACAGGACCCAGTGAGGTCACAAAGGAACTGAGCCCAGATGAGGAAGAAAAAGGGATCAAGGGTGGATAATGAGGAGGCACCAGCCAAAGAGGCTGAGGAAGAGTGGGCAGTCAAGTCGAAGGAAGACAGGGCATGTGTGCCGCCCTGGAGGGTAAGAAGGGAGGGGCTTTCAAGAGGAGGAGACGATATGCATTTGAATGATACCTAGAAAGTAAGAAAAAAAGCACTGTATAACAGTTTGACTTGGAGAAGGTCATCAGGTTTGTGGACAATCCAAAAACGCCTTCACTTTTGATTTCTGTGAATGCCATTATGATGTTGTTTGTGAGACCTATGACACGAAAAAAGTGTGTAAGCACAATTAAGAGATTAATTTGAAAACTCATCATCACAATCAAACATTTCTGTTGCCCGGAAGTTTTACCACGGCCCCCTTCTCAAAAGGCCTTTCACCCTGAGGATGCACCTGCTTCACTTGGAGAATGATGATGGAGTTTCCCCTTCTCATCAAATTCCTTCTTACCTGCAGCAGTATCTCTAATTTTCCTTGTTCCCAGGCAAACTGAATGGCAGGATTAGAGTGCAGGGGCCAGCCAGAGCCTCCCGGGAGGGCACACAGTAGTGAATGGCTCAGCCCTTGGAGCTCAGGTAAGAGAGCTGTTGGGAGACACAGCCTCCCTCACGGCTCCTAGCCCATGCGTCTAGGTGGAGACATAGGGACACAGTCAGTGGAGGCATTAGGTTCATATCTGGTGATGCTGTTGATTCTCCCTCCAGATCTGGCTGAAGAGGAACCGACACACCCCTCACTTTACTGCCAGGCTTGTTCTGATTTCCTTCTGTGGTCCCTGGACTTGTTCTATGCAGCAGCTCTCCCCACCCAGCCTACAGGAAGGCCTTGGAGGTGGTACCAGGGGACTGCAGACTGTGATTTAGCTCATGGGGGCTCTACTGTGGCCCCAGTGCTCCAGATTAAGGCAATTGGCCAGTCATTCCTGGAATGCTTAAATTCATTCATCTTTGAAACAGCACTAGGTACTCCTCTTTCCCAGAGAAAGGGAGGGATTCAATGACTATATTGTGTTTAATACTGGTCCATGATCACCAGACACTTTTCTAATCCTGTAAGATACTGTGTGGAAGAGCAGCAGAGTATATTTAGAAAGAGTCCTGGACTGGAAGTCAGAGGACTGGGGTTCAAGCCCAAGCTCCGTCACCACCAAGCTACGTGAACTTGGTCAAAGCAGGCACCTCCTGATGCCTCAGTGGTATAATAAGGTCATGGTTCTTGTTGCATTCCCTTTCCAGGAATACAGTGAAAAGTGAGTGAGATAAGCTGAGAGCTAGGCTTTTAAACTGCAGAGCTGGGTTCCAGACACCCTAGACTACTCTCCCAAAAGGTGGAGCCTGATCTTGTGTTAAGGACTTTGCCTATGGTGCTCCCTCTGAAATGCCCTTCTCTCCTTCTCTTCTACCTAGAAAGTATTCATCCTTCAAGACCTAATTCAAATGTCACATTCTCCAAGAAGTTTATTCAGAGCAAAACAAAGGATGTCCTCCTCTGTGTTTCTGCACCATTCATTTATTCATTCATTCATTGACAGGGTCAGTCTCACTCTGTTGTCCAGGCTGGAGTGCAGTGGTGTGATCTCAGGTTACTGAAACCTCCGCCTCCTGGGCTCAAGCAATCCTCCTACCCCAGCCTCCAGAGCATCTTGGACTACCGCCACGTAGAACCATGCTCAGCTAATTTTTTACTTTATTTTTTTGTGGAGATGAGGTCTTATTATATTACCCAGGCTAGTCTTGAACTCTGGGCCTCAAGTGATCCTCCTGTCTTAGCCTCCCAAAGTTCTGGGATTACAGGCATGAGCCACTGCACCAGCTCGTAACCCTTATAGCACATACCATGCTTTTTAGAATCAGTGGCTTATGTGTCTATTTCCCTCATGAGATTATGAACTCTCAGAGGCCAGGGTTATTATATCTTGCTCATCTTTGTGCCCCAAGTATCTAAAACAGTGCCTGACACACAGTAGGTACTGAAGGACCATGTATTTAACGGATCCAAATCACTGAGAAACTGACATAACCTAACCTCTTCAGACCCAAGAAACCACAGGCATCTGCAGTCACAGAAACCTGAACACGTTCTATTTCCAAGCCCTGGCTCCGTCTTTGGAAGATGGCTGCCACTGCAGAAAAAACAGAACAGGACAGAACACATATGGCCAGCAGCATTGTTTTCAGAGTCCAACACCAAAGTCTAATCACGGAGGGGAAAACACCTTCCTGAGGTCACACATAGCCTCAGAGAACCTGAACCAGGACAACGGCTCAGATTTCTCAACTATCAAACTCACACTGTTCTTTCAATAAATCCAATGCACTGAGTGACGCAGAAAAAACAACTGAGTATGGCTTTCGACTTTCACCAAAACTTAGGCTAATGAAGAGGACAGGTGCAGATCAAGTCTGGAAGTGATCAGAGCAGAGAGCAGAAAGCGATACATAAAAGCAGACCACAGAATCAGAATTAGGAAATATTTGGTAGCCTCTAACAGGAGACCTAAACCAACAAGGTAAAATGTAACAGGAATAAATACAAAGTCCCACATTAAGGCTAAAAAAGTGAACTACATAAAATCAAAGTTAGGGGAGGTGGATCTGTATGCTTAGAAATGGTTAAGATGGCAAATTTTATGTTGTGCATTTTTTTTAACCATGACGGAAAAATTTTAAAAAGTAAACCAAAGGTTTTATTAGGGAATTCTAATTTTGACAAATAACGGAAACTGGAAGCCCGCTTTTCAACTTCATATTGGATAGTTGGCTAAAGTAGTCCAGTTGCACAAAGATATGGCCCACTTTTGAGACCATCTGCTATAACGTGGAACCTGACAAAGACTGCTTTCAGCAGTACCAAGAACCAGCCACGAGCTGGAACCAAGAATAGACATAATCATAGCTGATACATAAGGCAATTAAAAATTCATGTGCATATTTTAAGATACTTTACCATCAAAATTGCCATGAGAATTAAATGAGGGATTGTTTTGTGTGATAATGATATTGTGCTTAAGAAGGAAGTTGTGTTTATGTTTTAGAGATGCATATTCCCATATTTAGGACTGAAATATTATAATGTCTACAATTTACAAGAAAATATTCTAGTAACGAGAACGGCAAGAATTTGATGGTTGCAGAGAAGGGGTGATGGGTGCATGGGGGCTCTTCGTATTAGTCTCTCCTTTTGTGTTTGTTTGAAAATGTCCAGAATCAAAAGATATTAACAATAAATTTATCAATAAAATACTTCAGAAAAATAGATGAAGCAATCATGGTGAAATGTTCATTATTATATCCAGATGATAGGTATCTGGCTGTTCACTGAAGTTTCTTTTATTTATTTTCTGTATGTCTGAAATTTTTCAAAATAAAAGTTGAAAAAGTTCCTTGAGGGAACATTTGAAAGCACCTGGCCCTGGTGCCTCGTGCAGTCAGTGCTGAAATAAATGTCAGTGGACTTCTCCTTCTCCCCACACCGTGGTCTGGAAGTGAAGCAGGCTTAGCCTGCAGCTCCAAAGAGCAGAACAGTGGTAGAAGCTGTGGGGAAGCGGGCCTCCTCTCAGTATAAGGAAGAACTTCGAAGAAAGTGAAACTGTCCCACAGTGAAGCCTGCAGCTTCCAAAGCTCCCCATCCCCAGGAATATCCAAGCAGAGGCTGCTTATTTTAGGGCTGTCACAGAAGTAATGTTTGAATTGATGAGGCAATTTGATAGCATCAAAAGGGATCTCAAGTGACCTTCCAAATTCCCTTCATCTGTTACGTCTTAAGATTCAATGCATTTGGATGAAATGTACCAGGACTTTTTCTTCCCCTCCCAGAATCTTGTCACTGTCTACAGCATCTGCAAGGAGAGGCACAGGGAGGACCAAAGAACTCTCTTCCCCATTTCCCTTGGTCCTGTTTGTTCTGCATACAAATAAAAGATTAAGTACACAGAAGGGAGGGGTGGGACAGGAAGGGCTCACAAAGGAAGTTCCAGAATCTCCTATCTGGAGGTCTTGTGGGCAATTGGATGAGATCTGTGCAAAGCTGGAAGGGCCAACAGCTGGGATCTCTCCAGGCCTCTTTTGGTTCTCACGAACCCCTGGCAACCTCTGGGCCAGGAGGCCTCCATGGCAAGAAAGTGGGAGAGGGCATAGGCCTAGGAACCCTGGCTTGTAGGGCTGGGAGGGACCACAGGAGATCATCTAGGCCTTTGGGAAGATGCAGCTTCATTATTCACCTCATTTTACAGGTGAGGAAACTGAGCCTGAGCCTGAACAAGGGTAAGTGACTGCACAAAGCGAAAAAGCTTTTGAAGTATTCAGGTATATGGGGAATGATCCTTAGGGGGAGGCAAAAAAACAAAAAACAAAAAACAAAAAACCATGTCTCCAACCCCAATGCAGTGTGTTCTTCCCACTCTAGCATGACTCCATTCTTGTAATCTTTTTTTTTTTTTTTTTTTTTTTTGAGACAGGGTCTCCTTCTGTCTTCCAGGCTGGAGTGCAGTGGCATGATCATGGCTCACTGCAGCCTTGATCTCCTGGGCTCAAGCGATCCTCCCACCTCAGCCTTCCATGTAGCTAGGACCACAGGTGTGCCACCACAATTGGCTAACTTAAAAAAGAAAAAAAATTGTAGAGACAGAGTCTCACTATGTTGCCAGGCTGATCTGGAACTCCTGGGCTCAAGCAATTCTCCTGCCTCGGCCTCCCAAAGTACTGGGTTTGCAGGCGTGAGTCACTGTGCCTGGCTCTGGCATCTCTTAAACTTGGAGAATGTCTGAGGACTCATCCAACACCCACCTTAGCCCCCCAACACCAGCAGAAACTTGCTCCCACGCAGTACCCAGGACTGTGCATCTCCACTAAACGGTTCCCAGTGAGAAGCCAAGCCAGAGGTGGATGGATTTGGATTAAATATGAAGAGAACATCTAGGTCCACAGAATTTGAATTAAGTGATCAAGAGGGTAAAAGGCACACTAACATTCTAGGGAGCCCCAGGATTCCATTATAATCTCCTTAGGCCAAGATGGCCACAATAACCAATGAAGTCCTGCAGAGAGAGTCCAAGGATCAGAATGGAGGAGGTGCCCAGTGTCAAAAGCAGCCTCCGCCTCTACCTCTCCTCCTCTTGCATCCACGGACAGCGTGGAGGCCAATCAGCAGTGACTTGAGCTGCCCAGTCTAGCCCCTAACACCAAGAGCTGGGCCTGGGACCCCTAGGAGGGCCCTGCTTTCCCACCTCTGAGCTGAGCCAACAGCTCAGCTTGGAAGGCTGATTTGCATAGCTCTGGCAGCCCTGGGATGTGAGTTTGCCTGGGGAGCAATTCTCTGGGTGAGGGAGTTGAAGCGCCAGAACTGTTCAAGCAGGATTTTTCACTTCTGCCTGGTAAACAATGCAGAGAACATTCGGCAATGGGGCTGAGCCTCTCCCATTTCTGGTTCTCTTCTCACCAGCTCTGCTTTCCAGTATAACCCAGTAGGACTTCCAGTGACACTACAGGACCACTTGGCACCTTGTTGGCACTTCCTGGGAGAGCGATCATTAAGCTACTGCGACATTGGAAGCGTTCCTGAGCAGCCAGCCACCAGAGCAAACGGAGAGGTTTCCAGCGTGGCCATTTAAACCAGCCCAAACCAGGCTTTGTTCAGGATGCCCCCAGACACGATGCCTATCTTTTTTGGTACTTGAGATTCATCCAATGAACTGGGAAGTCTGGCCTAATGGTTAGAGTTCTGTCCAGAAAACACACAGTAAACTAGGTTCCAGGGTCCCGTCGGAGGCTCTTTTATGCTGAACTTTGGCGAGTGGCTTCATCTCTGTAGCCTTCAATTTCCTCTAAATATTGTATTAAAGCAAAAAGTTGCTGTCTCCATTCTGCCACCTCCTTCTTAGGAGTGAGGAAATATTTAGGAGGAGCCTGAAAGCAATCCTTAGAGTCACCTGAAGAACAGGAGCCAGAAGGCCCCGTGAGGGACTGGGGGGAGCACTGGCTTAGGAGTTGGGAGGTCTGAGTCTTGTTTCTCCACTAGCTGAGAGTCCTGGGTCAAGCCAGGGTGTGGACAGCAAATGCACAGACATCACCTGCGTGCAAGCCATGCCCAGGGCAGACATCACTAATGGATCCTGGCTTTCCCTTTTCCTTCCCTAAACTCAGGCCTCAGTGACCACCAGAGATGACCAGAATTAGTGCTCCTGAGGACACTCACTTGCTACTCCAAAACTGGATGATCTCTCCGGTTCTCTCTACCCCTGGCAGTCTGTGGACTGGGTTGGTGGGGGGGGGGGTGGTTTCATGGTTTAAAGCTTACACTTCTCTACCCAGAGGAGAGTCAATGTGAACAACCTCAGGGCTCCCTTGTGACGGCCTTTTGGGCATCCTGACGACTTTGTTTCATAGGCAGTCATGAGAGCAAACCCTGAAGCCTGCTCTCCAGGCCAGTCCCACAGATACCAGGAGGCTAGGGCCATGCCACAGGGGACAGGGGAGCTCTGCTGCACCTGCCTTTGCTAAAGAGAAGCTCAGCATCCTCCCCCTGCAATTTCTCATGCCAGTTTTGGAGAAAGGGAAGGTTCCTCACCAAGGTCTCCTTTTTCATCCGGAGATATAACCCCACATTTCTTCTTGGTCTGAGCTGCCCCCCATTCAACAGGAGATTCCCCCCTCAACCCCTTCTCCTGTTGGTCACACTGTGATGCTGCAGTCATGGAGACAGGGGCACAAGTGGCAGCATGGTCAGGGCTAAGTGGAAGGAGCATCCTGAGCAGACGGCACCAGGTTTCAGAAAAGAAGTGTCCAGGCACTCAGGCCACTGCTTCAAAGAACGGGGCCCGAAGATCCAAGTTCCCCATCAAAACCTCAACTCATAGTCCCCTGGCCTTGGAAAAATAGTAAAAGTCCAACTTCAAAGGAAGTTAAGTAAGAGTTCTGTTCTAGTTGCATCCAAAAACACATCTCAGAGAAACACCCCACCCACAGGCTGTTTTTCTATCAGAGCTTTTTTTTTGTGCTAGAGAGGAACCAGAGACTCCTAGTTCTGGACCCACCATTTACAGGTAAGGAAACTGAGTCCCAGAGAGGACAAGTCATGTGCTAAAGGTCACATGACCAGCAAATGGTAACACAGGAACAAAATCTCTGAGCTCCAATTCCCAGACTTGGCTCTCTCCATGACAGCCCATGTGGTTCTTTAAACACTGATTCCAGACCAGCGCCACCCCAGCCCTACCCTAGCCTTGCCAGGGGAAGAGGCTCAGAGAGGTTTAAGGTTAGTAAGAGTCTAAGGGGCTCTTTCCTAGTCCTCTCCCCTAGGCTGAGGAAAGTGGGGGTGAGAAGAGGGGAATGAAAGAACAGGAGGAGCCACCAGAGGCACAGGATTCAGCTGGGCTCTGGCTCTCACGTGGGCACAAAGTGTCCTCAGTGCAGCTCAGAGGGGTGCTCAGACCTGGAGATGCTTTCTCACATATGTAAAACAACTCACACTTTTGAAAACTGCTACAGAGGCCTGGTGCGGTGGCTCATGCCTGTAATCCCAGTACTTTGGGAGGCCGAGGCAGGCGGATCACCTGAGGTCGGGAGTTCGAGACCAGCCTGGCCAATATGGCAAAACCCCATCTCTACTAAAAATACAAAAATTAGCTGGGCATGGTGACAGGTACCTGTAATCCCAGCTATTTGGGAGGCTGAGGCAGGAGAATCACTTGAACCCGAGAGGTGGAGGTTGCAGTGAGCCAAGATTGAGCCACTACACTCTAGCCTAGGCAACAAAGTAAGACTGTCTCAAAAAAAAAAAAAAAAAGAAAGAAAACTGCTACAGATAGACTCTCATTTCATTCATTCCTCACAATTTGTCTTACAAATAAAGAAACTGAGGCTGGAGGAGGTTATGTAACTTGCCCAAGGTCATTTGCTCCAGAGCTGGAGAGAAGGAACTCAGATTTCCAAGTTGTGGCTCCAAGGTCCATGTCTGGTCACCAGAACGCGTGGCTCACAGTGACATGCCCTGCAGATGTTCCTTCATTTTGCAGCACACTTCCATGTCCATTTTTTATTCGATCCTCACCCTGCCTGTGAGGTCTGTAGGGCATCAGTTATAGAACTCTCCCCTCTTCTCTGGAGCTGTGCCCCTAGGGCTGGAGTGCAGAGAAGAGGTGCACTCAGAGGCCCTGAGAACAGAGCAGAAACCCTTGTGGAGGAGCCAGTTAGAGGCTAGAGCCACAGAACCCCAGGCCAGGGTCACAGAGAGCCCCTAAAAGTAAGAATTGAAGGGAATGGTGACCCAGAGATGTGGTAGCAGCAGGCCACCTGGTGCTGAGCCATTTCTGAGGGAAAGGTGTTTGGAGAGGGGAAGCTTTGTCTAAGGAAAGAACAAAAGAGCAGAAAGCAACAAAATGAAAGCAAAGGACAGAGGACCTGTTTCGGGGGTGGAGAAAGGGCTCCTAAGGAAATATCGGCCTTGAACTCTTGCTGTGACCTTGGGAAAATCATCCCCCTTCTCTGACCCCAGTCTCCTCCCCTATAAAATAGGAAAATAGGGCAAGATCAGAGAATTTTCAAACATTTTGGCAGCAGAACACTGTTTTCAAATAATAAGGATTAATTAGTAGCTGACATTTATTGAGCATTTATTACGCACCAAGCTTTGTAGTAAACATTTTATACACATGACAGTATTTAATCCTCACAACCACCCTGTGAGTGGGTGTTCTTATTATCCCCATTTTACAGATGAGGAAACTTGAGGCTCAGAATGGTTAATTACCTTGCCCAAGGTTACTGATTAGTAAACCACTGGGTAGGGACTCAAGCCCACATCTGTCTACCAGCAAAGGCTGTCCATACTACACCATGTTATCTCCAAATGAAGCCTCATATGAAGTTGCTGCAGAAACTCGAGGGGAAAAAAGGACTTTTAGGTCTTCTGGAACTATACCTCACATCTAGTCTCAGTGAATCTGCCCCATCTCATAGCGCTGGGTCCTGGGAGGAGGAGCAGGAGGAGGTGTGTCCACCAGCTCCCTCCCCTTCTTCCTGCTGTGTGCCTGCTTCCTAAGAAGCAAAGACACACTTGAGTTAGGATCAACACGAGGAGCCCACAGTGAGTTGATGTGACACATGCAGCTCCCTGGGTGGCAGAGTGGGCTTCTTGTGGGGTGACAGTCAATGAGAGTTCTGGACGTGTGTGGACAAGATGGTGTGCTGATCACGAGTGAATGTACAGGCAAGGCTGCCCAGGAAACAGGCTACTTCCTAACCGAGGTTCCCTGGAGTGGCTGGTGGGGCACAGCACCCACCATGTGGACACTTTGTCTTCCCCATACTAATAACAGCAAATAGCATTATCATCTGGCAGGGGCTCTTCTAAGTGCTTTACAAATGTTAACTCATGAATCCTCACAGCAGCCCTATGTGGTAGGGACTATTATTACCCCTGTTTCATAAAGTTACAGCGCCTTTAAGTAACTACCCCAAGGTCAGAGCAGAGGAGCCCTTCTTAACACCTTAGAGACACTAACAGGTGCCTGACAAATACTAACTGATGTGTGAAAAGGATTAGTATGTCCTCACAGATCCCAGCATCTCAGAGCTGGAAGTTGTTTTAAGAGACCCTCAGATTCAGACCCTTCGTCTTAGGCACAAACTCAGGCCCCAAGAGGGATAGTAACTCATGTGAGGTCACAGGTTGGTGATAAGATGAGTCCAGAATCCATCTGTTCTCACACCTCTTCTGCCAAACAAGAGAGTGTAGGGATTCTTCTCTGGTCTCACTAAGGGGCAACCTGAGATGATCAGTCCAAGGTCAGCAGAGGAAGAAAGGTGTGAACCCAGCCCAGAACCCACTCAGGGGTCCTTCCCAGGAACTCAGACGTCCTCAGGACACCGAGGAGCTAAACGGAGCCCCGGTCCAGGAAGGGACAGAGACCCAGCCGGCTCTCCTGTGAAGTCGTAACATCTATCCCAGTGCAGACTCCTGGTCTCCTCCGACCAACCCCAGGTTTCCGGCCGTGGAGATGGGGTGGGAAGGGAGCCAGCCAAGTACACACCTCCCTTTGATAACTTGGAGCCCTGGAGCTGACATTTGCCAGCCGGCTTAACCCCTTTTGTCCAAGCTTCCCTCCTCAAGAAAACCTTAATCATCCTCATTTGAATTTCAAATGACCTCTCCCCCTCCCCACCCCAACAGGCTTTGAGGCAGGGATATGGAAATTCACCCTGCAGTATGGAAATCATCGCCCTATGCAAATTGGGCGCGAGACCCCATCGTCATAGCAACCACCCAGTTTCCTCTCCTTTTGGCACCTCCCTGGGCTCCCTGGTTTAGATTTTCTTTCCTTTTTCCAGCCCAAGCAGCTGAAGGGTGGGCAAGCCCCCTACTGGGGAAGGTGAAGTGTCATGTCCCCAGCTGAAGAGCCCAGTGGGGTCCAGATATGCCAGGCCACCTGCCCACACCTCTCGTACAAACCTGGACTGGGCACACCCAGGCAAGACCAACTGCTGGTTTTTCCAGCTGGGCTAAGCCAAGGGTGGGCTAGGCTGTGGTGGGGAAGCCCGTGAGTCTGGGGGAGACCATGAGGCCCTCAGAGGTGGCAGGCAGGAGGAGAGACACGGGGGGCTTTGGTGGTGCCAGTGGTAGGAGATGAAAGGCAGTGTGTGGAACCTGTATGTAAAATGCCATGCAAATGAACACCTATTATTTTTTGAGTCAACAACAGCACTGATGCTTTTGGTAGATGCCTGCAGCTGTTTCCCATGCTCCTGGCTTGGCACAAAGGCCTGCCCTCCCTGAGTCTCCCAGGGATCTGCTGTTACTCCAGGAGCGCCCACCAGCAAGCTCACGAGTCCAGGGAGAGCCCAGGTGGGCACTTTGAACTCTTGGTGTCTGAAGCCCATAGGAATGAAACCCAGTCACTTCCCAAGGCTCTGGTCAGCTTCCTGCCCTGTTGTGCCAGACCCCTCCGGGCTCCAGTGTGGGAGAACTCCAGTAGCCCCTGGGGTGACCTCAAGCCACTTCCCCTTTAAGCACTCTCAGCTTGACTCTGGCCCTCTTCCTCCAAACCAAAGCCTGTGGGGAGTGGGGATGAGAGGAGGGGCTCCTCCTCATCCCCTTTCCACTGCTTCCCCTCCTAGACAGTCCTAGGGGTGGGTCATCTTGTGTAAGCCCTTCAGGTAGGGGAGGGGTCTACACAGACCCAAAACAAATGCTGGCCCCAAGCTCCAACTGGCCATCTCCTCTGCCCCTCCTGCAGTTTCACAACCCCCTGAAGGACCCAAATCTGCCTTGAAAGAACAAACTCGACCAGAAAAGAGACTGCCTCTAGGTGCACCCTGCACTCTGGGGTCTGAAGTGTGTGTCCATTTGTCTGTGCGGGTGCTTGGGGGCTGGGCTGGGACAGACTGAAGCTGCATATCAGTTGCCCGGGATCTGGCTGCTTTTCAAGCCCCTAAGACATCCTAATTTGGTTGCTCATTTCTTTCTGAATTCTTTTTCTACTTTTTCAGCACTTTTCCACATGCAGGTGTTCATTGCTCTAATCGTTTCTGGGGTGGAGGTCGGGGGTGAACTCAAAATACCAAAAGGATTTACTCCCAGCTTGGGGCTGGAGGAGTCTGCAGTTTCAGGTGCCTTAGCGAAGGGCTCAGGCCCAGAAAGCTGTGGTGGCCTGAGTCTCTGGATGATGCTCAGTGCTCAGTCCCCTAGTCTGCAGGATAGGTGGGTATCATGCCACCCCTGCCAGCAAAGGACAGACTGGGACACCCCCTCTCCTGCTGGGCCCCCCATCTTCATCCCCTAATATCTCCAAGAAGACATGCTAAGGAGGTCATAGGAAGATGTACCCAGGGTCAGGTGGAGCCATTGCTCACAGAGGCCACAGGAAAGGGACTTTCTAATACACAATGCAAACTCCACGAAGGTAGGGTACCGCAAGGTATGGTCCAACGACCAAAGCTGGTCTGTGCACTGTTGAGGTCCGGGACCAGATATGGACAAACAGTGAGTGTGAGAATTTGGAAACACTGGGTGGGTGCAGTGGATCACACCTGTAATCCCAGTATTTTGGGAGGCCGAGGTGCGCGGATCACCTGAGGTCAGGAGTTCGAGACCAGTCTGGCCAACATGATGAAACCCTGGCTCTACTAAAAATACAAAAATTAGCCAGGCATGTGCCTGTAGTCCCAGTTACATGGGAGGCTGAGGCAAGAGAATTGCTTGGACCCAGGAGGCGGAGGTTGCAGTGAGCCAAGATCATGCCACTGTACTCCAGCCTGAGTGACAGAGCAAGACTCCAACTCAAAAAAAAAAAAAAAAAAAAAAAATTTAGAAATGTTAGTAGCACATCCAAGCACTCCATCGGTGGGACCCTCCAGCTGAATTGGGTGTGAGCCCTTTTGGGCGTGGTTGAGTGTGCATGGGTGGGTGCAAGCTCTGTGCTGTAGGGCGCAGTAGGTCTGGGTACATGTCTGTGATGGGCTGGAAACATAAACACTGGTCCTCCACCCAGACTGTTTGAGAAGCAGTGCTCTAAGGAAGGACCACTCATAAACTAAGGGAACTCTGGAAGGTAAAAGATGGCTCACGGATGCCTCCCACACCAGATTCCCTCTCCTTTCTCTCCTTTTTGTGTGGACGGAAAAGGAGTCCATGTTCTCCTGGGGGCTGCAAAGGTGGCAACTGGGGTCAAGGGGTGACCAGTTGCTTAAGATCTCCAAGAGAAAGAGGAAATGGCATCGGGCAGGACTAGCCCCGCTCCTCATGGCTCATCTGAACTGCATGATCCTGCCCCGCTGCTTACCCTAGTCCTGGGTGTTGACCTGGGAATCTAGATGAGGAAGTATCTATGGTTGTAAGTCATGGAACAGATGTGAGCTGCTGTTGTGGCTGTTTTATTTGAGAAGGTTCTCTGAGCACTGGAGGCAGACAGGCAACTCCTGGCACCACAGGCTGTTCTCCTGCGATATCTGGCCCATGGAGCCACAGTCTGAAGCTTGAGGGGTGAATCAGCACCTATGAACTTCCCTGTCACAGAAAGCAGAAACAAGCTGGGGTGGAAGCCACTCTGAGAAGGGCAGAACAAGGCTGGGTGCGGTGGCTCATGCCTATAATCCCAGCACTTTGGGAGGACGATGCAGGTGGATCACTTGAGGTCAGGAGTTTGAGACCATCCTGGCCAACATGGTGAAGCCCTGTCTCTACTGAAAATATAAAAATTAGCCAGGCACGGTGGCGTGCACCTGTAATCCCAGCTATTCTGGAGGCTAAGGCATGAGAATCACTTGAACCTGAGAGGCAGAGGTTACATTGAGCCAAGATCACACCACACTGCACTCCAGCCTGGACAACAAATTGAGACTCATCTCAAAAAAAAAAAAAAAAAAAAAAAAAAAAAAAAAGGGACAGAACAAGAGACAATGGACTTACACAGCAGCATGAGGGTCTTAGGTGAGAGAAAAGAAAGGACTTCCAGGCACTAAGGATGGCATCCTGTAAGAATAGGCAGCCACAGCCAGGAACAGTGGCTCACACCTATAATCCCAGCACTTTGGGAGGCCAAGGCAGGCGGATCAGGAGGTCAGGAGTTCCAGACCAGCCTGGCCAACATGATGAAACCCTCTCTCTACTAAAAATACAAAAAATTAGCAGGGAATGGTGGCACACGCCTGTATTCCCAGCTATTTGGGAGGCTGAGGCAGGTGAATTGCTTGAACCTGGGAGACAGAGGTTGCGGTGAACCGATATCATGCCGCTGCACTCCAGCCTAGGCAACAGAGCAAGACTGTCTCAAAAAAAAAAAAAAAAGGCAGCCAAAAGAAATTGTGGGGTTGGTTTTTCTTAGAGATGTAAAATAGACAAAAAAATAAGTCTCCAAGAAAGTAGAATCTCTCATTTTCCAGGGCTGGTTTTGAAATGTCTCCAAAAGAAGAGAGAGGTATGGACAAGATATCCTGTCAGGAGTTCATATCAGGAATATCATGACCCCTCAATGTCTGGTGAGCTACAGTTTCATTCCTCTCTTCCAGCGAGGTGGGGGACAGAGCAGTACAGACTGAGGGGCAGACACTAGAGGCCACACAGCCCACTCCTTCATTTTATTCCTGCACTACCCTTCTCCTCCCATTATGCCAAGGAATTTCAAGTCCTGGGCACAAGTGCATGCAGGACTTAATGATGGACTCTGAAAATTGTACACCATCATACAAATACAGTTCAGACTTGCTCTGTCATTTCATCATAAAAAGGGAGTGCGAATGTGTGTGTGTGCGCGCGTGCATGCTCACACATGTGCCTCATCTAGCGATGGTTGTCAGCCAGGCATGATAGCTCATGTCTGTAATCTCAGCACTTTGGGAGGCCACGGTGGGAGGACTGCTTTAGGCCAGAAGTTCAAGACCAGCTTGGGCAACATAGCAAGATCCTGGCTCTACAAAAAGATAACTTAAAAAAATTAGCCAGGCCTAGTGGTGCACACCTGTAGTCCAGTTACTTCAGAGGCTGAAACAGGAGGATCACTTGGGTGCAGGAGTTCAAGGTTGCAGGGAGCTATGATTGCCCTACCACACTCCAGTGTGGGTGACAGAGTGAGCCACTGTCTTGAAAAAACTAACTAAATAAAAATGGTTGTCAAGTACTTACTAGATTTCTCCTGTCCTGTCTGCCAGCTTAAGAATAGTTTTATCAATATTTGGACTGAAAAATCACACTCATCTCTAAAAGTCTTCTGCCTCTTCCCACCTGGAACCTCACCTCTCACCTGTCATTTTCAGCTGGTTTTCTGGGAGCCAGCAGGGTCTCATTCTTTCTCTGGGACCTTATGAGAATCACTAACCTCCTGGGCCTCAGTCGTGCTTCCCTCTAAAATCATGTCTGTGCCTTCTGGAAGCCATGCTGAAAATCCTCTGGGTTAGGTGGGGTGACTTTCTGCAGAGGGTCCCCAAACAGTGGACTCGCCTCTGAGGTCCTTCTGCAGGGTGGGGCCGAGGTTAGTCATTCCTCCTCACAGACAAGACAAGGGAGGCCAGGGAGGAAGGGCAACAGGAAGGGGTGGCTGACAAAGCCCAGTCCCCTCCCTCGTCTCTAGCTTCCCCCTTTTTCTCCTGGGCTTCCTTCTTGGGGTCCTTCCTTCCCAGATCTCTGAGCAAGACACTTGCTCTACAGTCCTCTGGGTTTGAAGCCCCACCCGCTGCCCCTGGCCCTAACCCCTGCCAAATGACAACTGAGACTAAGGGATATGGGGGTGCTGGGAGGAACTGTGGCTTCTTGGACTGGATTAGTCTACCTGTGGGGGACTTGGCTCCCCTCCGGCCCTCCGTGCCATCCTCTATAGTTCTGGCACCTCCTCTAATGCTAGCATTGTCCTTTTTTGTTTTGAGACAGACTCTCGTTCTGTTGCCCAGGCTGGAGTACAATGGCGCTGTCTTGGCTCACTGCCACCTCCGTCTCCTGGGTTCAAGTGATTCTCCTGCCTCAGCCTCCCAAGTAGATGGGATTACAGGCACGTACTATCACGCCTGGCTAATTTTTGTATTTTTAGTACAGATGGGGTTTCACTGTGTTGTCCAGGTTGGTCTCAAACTCCTGACCTCAAGTGATTTGCCTGCCTTGGCTTCTCAAAGTGCTGGGATTCCAGGCATGAGCCACAACACCCGGACAGGTACCATTGTCTTATGTCCTCCGTCCCCAGTTCCCCATGTTGACTCCCAGTACCTTCCTACCACCATCTTTTTTTTTTTTTTTCGCCCTTGTTACCCAGGCTGGAGTGCAATGGCGCGATCTCGGCTCACCGCAACCTCCGCCTCCTGGGTTCAAGCAATTCTCCTGCCTCAGCCTCCTGAGTAGCTGGGATTACAGGCACGTGCCACCACGCCCAGCTAATTTTTTGTATTTTTAGTAGAGACGGGGTTTCACCATGTTGACCAGGATGGTCTCGATCTCTCGACCTCGTGATCCACCCGCCTCGGCCTCCCAAAGTGCTGGGATTACAGGCTTGAGCCACCGCGCCCGGCGCTCCTACCACCATCTTTAGGTAGAAAGTCATCAGAAAGACTCAGGCTTAGTTCTGTCCTTCTCAAGGTATAGGAGCTTGGGGCGAACTAACTGAGGTTCTTTCTCATCACCAGCCTCATTTCTCCACCTGTGAAGTGGACTAAAAATACCTACTCTCATAGAGCTGTTGTTAAAGCCAAATGCATGAAGTGTTTGGGAACACCCTTACAGACACATGTCACTGTTACGCAGGCAGACATGAGTTCCTGCACTAGAAGGACAACTCCTTGAGGACAGGGATGCTCTTCATCTGAGCCCGGAATCTGCCACTAAGTTATCCTCCAAAGATGCTGGTTATACAACTACAAGCCAAGCGAGGTCAGAGAAGAGGGTCGGAGCCCAAACAGAGAAGACAGCCGTGGGTGTCGGAGGAGAAAAGACTGAAAGGGAAGCTGAAGAAAGGAATGGGGAGGAGACCAGGAAAAAGGAGGAAGAGAGAGAGCTCAGAACTGAGGAAACCTGCACGAAAATGCACGATCTGGAAACAGACAGAAAGAATTGTGAAAAGCAGAACTGTGCGAACCTCTTTTAAAATTCAGCCTTTAGAGATTATCTAGTCCAAACCCTGCCTTTATGGGGAGGAAAAATAAAGGTCTCTGTAGGGAAACACTTGCCAAGATAATGTGCAGGGAGTTAATGGCAGACCCAGGATAAGAGCCTGATAGAGTCAGACAAGCCTGATGACTTTGATTTCTGGTTATAAGCTGTGTGATACTGGGCAAGTTAGTTTCTCATTCTGAGCCAGTTTACTCATCAATGAAGATGAAGTTAATCATGTCTCTATCTCGTAGCCTAATTGTAAGAATTAAATGAGATGCTGTAAATAAAGTTGCCTGCATGTGCCTGTGGTGGGAGGAGGCTCTGTGAATGTTACAGTCTCTTTCTCCTTCCCCCTGACCCTCCGTTCTTTCCTCCCTTGTGACTGAGGCAATGATGTGACCAGGCGTGGTCAAAAGTCACAGGGTTAGCTACATCTGCACTTGGGGGTTGTCAGTTACAGACCTGGGGGCTTTTGAAATGTGGGTAAGGCTATATTCCCAACAACCACTTAATTGAGAACAGAAAGAAACTGTTGTCAGCCTCAAGAATGGAGTAAAGCCTGGGTGCAGGGGCTCATGGTTGTAGTCTCAGCTACTTGGGAGGCTGAGGCAGGAGGATCCCTTGAGCCAGAAGTTCTAGGCTGCAGTAGCCATGATTGTACCACTGCACTCCAGCCTGGGCGACAGAGGGAGAACCTGTCTCAAAAAAAGAAGTGGAGGAAAAGTAAAAACAGATTAGGAAGCAGTAGGTAGGAAACACAGAAAAGCTGATAGTTCAGAAACATAGAAAGAGGAAAGAGTAAGGGCCGGGTGCGGTGGCTCATGCCTGTAATCCCAGCACTTTGGGAGGCCAAGGTGGGTGGATCACAAGGTCAAGAGATGGAAACCATCCTGGTCAACATAGTGAAACCCATCTCTACTAAAATACAAAAATTAGCTGGGTGCGGTGGTGCATGCCTGTAGTCCCAGCTACTCGGGAGGCTGAGGCAGAATTGCTTGAACCCAGGAGGCAGAGGTTGCAGTGAGCCGAGATCGCACCATTGCACTCCAGCCTGACGCCTGGTGATAGAGCGAGACTCTGTCTCAAAAATAAAAACTAAAGAAAGAAAGAAAAAGAAAAAGAGGGCCAGGTGCAGTGGCTCAAGCCTGTAATCCCAGCACTTTGGGAGGCTGAGGCGGGTGGATCACGAGGTCAAGAGATCGAGACCATCCTGGTCAACATGGTGAAACTCCATCTCTACTAAAAATACAAAAAAATTAGCTGGGCGTGGTGAAATGTGCCTGTAATCCCAGCTACTCAGGAGGCTAAGGCAGGAGAATTGCCTGAACCCAGGAGGCTGAGGTTGCGGTGAGCCGAGATCGCACTATTGCACTCCAACCTGGGTAACAAAAGCGAAACTCCGTCTCAAAAAAAGAAAAGAAAAAGAAAGAGGAAAGAGTACTGAACCAGGGCTCTGCTGCAAGGGAATTCTGAGCTCTTGGGCAACTTATTCTTCGTCTGTGCCTCGGCTTCCTCACAGGCCAGAGAAAGGAAAGGATGTGCTGCCCAGCCAGGTCTCCACCAGCCAGGAGTTCTGTGTCGGACCTTGAGAATGCTCCCCTGGGCATTCCTGGCCTTTGTGAATGGGGAAGTTTACCTCCCTTTCCCAGATCCTACCCCCAGTATCCCTTGGGGATTTCACACAGCACAGAGGGTGCTCTCAGGGAGCTGGGGCTTTCTAAGTCACCTTTGTTTATAGTTCCTTTAAAACCCAGAAACAAACCACCCCTTAATTCATACACTGCTGAGAAGGTGAATCTGCCTTTTAAAATCCAAAGGAAGCCATTAAACCAAGTTGGTAACCATTGTGACTCATAATAAGCTTTCTTCTGTAAAAAAATGAGTCAGAACGACTTTCCAGGAAGTTTGGTTACTTTAATTAGCCACCTCTTTCTTCTTGCCCTTAAAAACATGCAGTAATTTGAAGATCACCTAAGTATTGATGTTACCAACCAGGGAGCCCTGAAGTGAAAGATATCCTGGTAATGGCAAAGTTTCAGACATCACTGGCTCCTTGGAGCTGAAAAGGGACCCATGCAGAATCCTTTCCTAAATGGTGAAGGCAGCAAAACCAACCTTCCAGGCTGATGCACTGGCCCGCGTAAAGCGGGGAATGAGCCAGAAATACTCAGCAGTAATGCCCATCTGCATATTCCGGAATGTTAATTATTCCAGAATCTTTTTTTTTTTTTTTTTTTTTTCCGAGACAGAGTTTCGCTCTTGTTAACCAGGCTGGAGTGCAATGGCGCGATCTCGGCTCACCGCAATCTCCACCTCCTGGGTTCAGGCAATTCTCCTGTGTCAGCCTCCTGTGTAGCTGGGATTACAGGCATGCACCACCATGCCCAGCTAATTTTTTGTATTTTTAGTAAAGACAAGGTTTCACCATGTTGACCAGGATGGTCTCAATCTCTTGATCCACCCGCCTCGGCCTCCCAAAGTGCTGGGATTACAGGCGTGAACCACCGTGCCCGGCCTTATTCCAGAATCTTAATGACGATTACAGCTGCCACGTGCCAGGCACTGTGCTGAGGACTTGAGACATCATCTCAAACCCTCAACCCACTCTCTAAATTGGGCATTACTTTTCCCTCTTTACAAAAGGGACAAGGATAAATTTTCAGGTCATGCAGGCAGTAAGCAGCAGGGCAAATTTCATCCCAGGTCTGTCTGATTCTAGATCCATACTCTTCAAAGGTCATCCGTTCCCACCTCCTGGGGAGGCAAAGTGGCTGGTCATATATTGAACTGGCTGAACTGGCGGTAACCCTAGGTAAGAGATAGATTCTGAAGGTCTTAGCGGATGTCTGGATTCTTCTCTCTTAACCTATTTTATGGAAGCCAGATTGCTCAGATTGACCATAACACACTAACCTTCCTAACCCTTACCAGGATCTGAACTTCCTCCCTTTCCTGGCTCCCCTTTCAGGGTTCTATATGGCTCATTTTCCCTCCTAACACTGTAACCCCGACTTGGTCACAGTGACAGAACACCAGTGCAAGCTGGTAGGCGTGGTCTTCTTCCCATGCGGACACTCTCTTCGTTGTGCCCCCACACACCTGGGGCAATGGGCCCCGGTAAACAGAGTTGGCTCCAACCAGCCCGCTTCCAGAAAAGGGCTATCCAGCTTCTCTGGATAATGGCTCCTGGGCTGATTTTTCTCTTGGGAAGGTGTCAGTGTGGGGACTGTGTCTGTCACTCTACAGCTGAACTGAATTTAAAGTCTTGCTCAGGTTTTTGAGTTAAAAGGAAATCTTGTTCTCAACTGGGAAGAACAGGTGCCCCTCTCGACAGACCCTTAGTAAAACGTATTCTGCTAATTAATCAATTTAAACATGAGTGTGACCGGCCCACATTCTCCTCAGTCTGGCTGCCTCTGTACATAAACAAAGCAAAATAGAAAGACTGTAGCTTGATGTGTATGGCTACTCATGCAACTAGACACTGTTTCAGTATGAAACTGGGGAGCAGAAAAGTTTATGGCAAATGCATATACTGTGGATGGCCCCCGCACACCAAGACCCCCAATGATCTTGTCCCTGATCCTGAATCTCATAGCTTCAAGAATGGAACTAGACCTCTCTAGAAGACTTGAAAAAGATTTTAGCTCTGGGGGACATTGATTCTCTTCCACTTCTAATTTCTATGTCTCTAATAATCCAGATGAAAGACTAATTGAGGCCTGGTTGGAATGCTATTAAAGTTATTTGGTGATGTTACAATTTATACTCATCTTTAAGTTATTTTTAATTATATGGAGCTTTCAAAGCAAGGCTTGGACTATGGAGGTAAAAATAGAGAGCTATGAAACTTTCTTTTCAATTCTTTCTTCTTCTCACCTTTTTTTTCAGACGGGGTCTCACTCTGTTGCCCAGACCAGCCTCAAACTCCTAGGCTCAAGGAATCCTCCCGCCTTGGCCTGCTGAGTAGCTGGGACTACTGACTTCCTTTCTCTTCTTTACAAAGCAAAGTCATCTCCAGGCACCAAGCCTTCCTCTCTGAGCCTATTTACCACCCCACATGCACGTTATTTGGAAGAGAAACATTTGTCCACAGGCCTCTTTGGTTAGTGCCTTGAGTAGGGCTATGGAGGTATCTGGGGCTAAAAGGCACTGGTCCCCATCTACGAAACACGAGTTCTTCTGCCTCTGCCAGTCACCGCAGTTTAGAACACAGCTGCTCCGGAACCCTTTTGGTTTTGCTGTGTTTTTAAGGATCTGGTCCCTTCCTAGCCTAGTTCCAGAGGTTTTGTTCCACTGTGGACCAATATCTACTGTTCAAAGGCTCCAGAATCATATCCCATGTCTTCAGGGAATTCCCTTAGTTCCTAAGACCCAGCTTTGAGGTCTGGTTGGCTGAAAGACCAAGCAAGAAGAGAAACCAGTTGTTCAACAATTCCCAACAACTCTCTCCCCACCCCGGCATTCCTGCTCCATCCCCCAGAAGAGAAGACCCTTACCTGGCTCCACCTGGCTGAGAGTGCTGCGAGCATCCGTGGAATCGGCTACATCCCCACTCATCTTGATATCTGCAGGGAAAACACAACTGATTTTAATAGCAGGTCACAATTTTTCTTGCTATGACATATATGGCTTTAACTAAATAGCAAAGATGAATGTGTAATTACAACAACCATCAGACTTTCAAATTCCTGATTCCCGAACATACAACCATTAGAATATTCATAAGCCTGGGGGCACGGATCCCCTCCTCCCATGCTTGCCTCTTCTCCTTGCCTTTCTCTTCCCCTTTCCCCGGTGCCACTGCAGGGTCTCTCACCTTTTGCATCATTCATGGCCATTTCCTTCTATCACCAGGACTCAGTTGGTAAAAATTTAACAAGGGGGTGGAGGGGACACTTCCCATTTCCAACACTCATTACCTTTGGGATCTGAGGAATTTATTTTATTTTTAAATAGCAAAAGGATTATCCCTCCAACCCTGCCTCCCCAGCTCTTTTTCCCAGAATAACCCCATCCTGGAAGGTAAGAGTACCCTTAAACCAAGGCTTGCCCTTCTCACTTTTCTTCCCCGTGTCCTGCCCGGGTTCTCTGTCCGGTCTCATAGGTCAGCCCACTGTCTGGGGAACAAGCTCTAGCTCCTGTGTTGTCCTCCTTGGAGATCCTGTCCTTTGGGGATCCTTACCTTCTCTCCTACTCCTTCAACTGGCTCAGTGAGGGAGGGATGGCAGCGGGTCAGTGCCCCACAAAAAGAGAATACCTACACCAGGCCCCTGGCTCAGCCCCCAAGTGCTGCTGGTCCGGCC